CAAAAAGTGCGACACGACAGAATCGCGCAACGAATCCGTTAGGTCGACCCGTTTCCGCGACATGCGCCGCGATGCGCATATAGATACGTACATATGTGTGCTATGAGTCTGTCTTACAAAGAAAAAAAATGGTGTCGAGCCACCGAGTTTCTACGGCGATGCGTTTACGTCATCGAACGTAAAAAGACGAAGCGTGGGCAAAAGGGGGTTGACGGAGAAAGACTTTTACGGGAGAAGAAGACTTTTATATCACGAGGCTCTCTCGTCCTCCCCCCCCCCTCCCCAAGAACTTCGGCGAACCGCCCTCGCGTTCGCGACGTGTACGAAGCCTCCTCGCCACCTCCGCGCCCGCCCCACACACCTTTCGCGCATTTATTTCCATTTATTTTCACTTGTCGACGAGTTACTTGGCGACGAGGCGAGACGAGGAGCGCGGAAAATCGCGCGAGGAAACAATGAGCGAGCCGCGTCGAGAGAGTTAACGATCGAATTGGGTCATCCTCGCGAGGAATTCGTTCGCGCGAGAAAATTCGCGGAAATAAAAATACGACTTTTCCGCGAAGACTTCCGCACGACCGAGCATTCGTGCGCGCGAACAATTGACTCGCTGAAATGGCAACGGAAATGCCAAAGTGCGAACAGTCGCATTTTTCATGGAGACGTGACACTTTCGAAAACGCGGAGTAAAGTTTCAGTTGCGAACGCACTTTTCGCACGTAATTTTTCTAGACTAGAACAAATATAACGTAGAGATGAGAGAGAACGTCTTTTGTTGCAAATTTCATATTATTGCGCACGAGATGCGTGCGGATTCTCGATGTTTTGCCGCGCGAATATTTCAATTATCGGAAGGATTTAAATTTCAACGTATACCGAAGTTCGATGACGTTCAGTAAATTGATTTCGCGAGCAGATGAATGGATTTAATTAGGTTAAATCAATCTTGCGCGCGCGCGAGAGTCTTTCGAGCGCTGCACGTCCTATTAATAACATTGCGGTGCGTTAAATAAAACCGCAAGGTGAAAACCTAACAAAAATACACTCCCCGACGTATTTTCTACTCTAATTGGCAGCGCGCGAGGATTGACAATACATCCGATGGCTGTGACAATGAACAAGAAACAAAGCTTTCTCGGAGAAAGCGTGACGAGGATTATAGATTTCCTATTAACTTATTTCGCTTCGCTCGCGAACGTTTAAATTTCTTGCAACTTTACTCGATGAAACACAAAACTCGGGTTCTGATGCGCACACGTTAAACCGATACATCGTCGCGACAACAGGAAGGATATCCCTTCTCTTCTCGTCGCTATCCATACCGGAAGTCGCGATGAGGTTACCTGCTCGCACGGTGCTGCTTCCTGTGTCGCGAGATACGTCCCGCTGCTCCGATACGTCTCTCTCTCTCTTTCTCTCTAACTTTACTCCGCGTTTCTTTTTCCCTCCATTTCTCATACCGGAATTTACACCACCCCTTCCCGTACGTGAAAAAATGTCCCGTCGTAATGAACTCGCGTATTTCACGCGCCGTCGTCGGATATTTAGAGTCGTTTTCTCTCTCTTCGTTTCCATTTTTTTTTTTTTTTTTATCGAAGACAATATAAAGTGCGATTCTCTCGCGTGTTTGCGAAATACAAAACCTGCCGTCGGAAATTCTGGCTAAAACTACTTCGGCCGTTGTAAATTATCGCGCAACAGAAGTAAAAGAATCTTCCGCATTATATGACATATATATCGATGGTAAAATAAACCGTAGCGTTCGTTCGCGTGGAAAAAAAACCTATGTGTGTGTTGTATGTGAGTGTGTAAAATAACTCGAGCAGCTATTTCGCGCAGGTAAAAAACGATCGCGGAAAAAGAAACAAAAAATACAGACGTCAAAGGACCCACACGATACGCCCTTTTTTGTCAGACATCGCACGTATATCTACATCGAGCGCTCTGTCTTTTATGTTAAAAGTACTTCGGGCCGACGGACGAGAATAGTACATCGGTAACCGCCACGATTGATCGATCGTGTTCGTACACTCCGCGCGCGGGCGCGCGTGGTTCCCTTCTTTCTGTGCGGAAAAATTAAAAAAAAAAAAAACAAAAGAAAAAACATTTTCTATGTTCACCAGGACGATTCTCGAGCAAAAAGGAGTTTGCTTTCTCTGAACGCGCGCGCGTATAGAGAAATTCTCGAGCAATCGCGTCGTTCCAAAGAAGATCTACGAGAGATTTCTTGCGGCGGGTATTCAAACTGAGAGGAGTTTATAACTGTCGACAGTCCTTGCGTTCGAAAAAAACGGTTGGAAAAAGCGGACGCGAAGAACGCGCGGCAGACACGTGTATAACGTGGGGTAACGCGCGCGATAAAAGTGCTTTATGCGCGAAGAAAACTCCTGGGAAATCGCAGCTAAGTCGAAGTACTGCACTGAGTAAATTAAAATTAGAGACTCGGTTCTTTTTACACATGCGTACACACAACGCTTCGAAATCGAAGATAATGTGTGTACCGAATTACTTTTCGTGTTAATTAATTCTACGTATTGTATCAAGAAATAACTTACTCGAATAATTAACTTACTCGGATGTTGACGAACGTGGGAATAAAATAGGAAAACTACCGGGGAAAAATTAGTGGGGAATAATCTATCTTAGGCGGACAAAAGCGCATTGTCACAAAGTTACAGTTTCCTCCCGGAGGAAACCCTCATTCGCTTATTGGGCCATTTGTTCCGTCGCGTCGCTGAATTCGATTCCAACTTGGTCTCTCAATGAGCCCGTTAATTGTCGATGACTCGATTAGGCGACAATAGAACTCCTCCAAGTTTCTCCGAACGAAGTTTTTCTAAAACGAGAAGACGGCGACGCGCAGAAATGGTTTCTGTGTTGTAAAAATTTGTAGAATTTACAATTTTCTGTCAGAGAAAAGAGCCGAGCTCTTTGTAAGCCGCTCAAACCGAGTGCTCCTCGCGAAACAGAAGAGCTTTAAAAACCGCTCTCGTTCTTTTTTCTCGGTTTTTTCGCGCACGAAAGTGTATTCTCTTTTTTTCTCTCTCTCTCTCCGTTCGCGTTAGTCCACGGCATTACACTTCGTCGTAATTTAAATTCACGCGGGAACTAAATCCCCGTGGTTCAAAACTTCATAAAACCAAGGCAACTAAGTAGATGATACGGCAACGCGGAACGAGCATGCTAATAGCTAATTAAACGAGACTTTATTTTTCTGAGAAAAAAAGTAACTACAACTCGCTAGAATTTAATCTGCGTTCTACTAAGAATTTTTTGTCTTTCGTAAAATAATCGTTTCCGTACTTAAAAAAAAAAAAAAACAGAAAAAACATAGTTTCCCTCAGAAAAACCCAATTGCACTAAAGAAGATCCTGTTACATCCAAATGAAATGTATTTAATCAAAAAAAGTGTCGCGTATAAAAATATCGAGACCGTATGAAATCGTTTCTACGAGAACCGATGCTACGTCCGGATTTTGCCGCGTGTATCCTTTTTTGTCGAGGTTTCATATCAGCTTTATCAGTAACTCGCAAAAGGCAATCGCAAATGAAATCTCTCTCTCTCTCTCTTTTTAACAGGAAACGAGCGGCAATAAAGCGCTGATGGTATCCGTCAAATGTGCGCGCTGCGTCCGTGTATTGCGTAGTTTCTATTTTTTTTCTGATGAAAAGAGAAACGGAACGCGCGACGAAAACCACAAACGACAAGCGCGAAAATATATTACATCGCGGTAATATACCGTTTTTCACAGAATGGCAATCGACAGCGCAGTTATAAGTAAACCCTGAAAAAAAAAAAAAAAAATTACGACAAAATACACAGTGAGCAAAGAACGAAATTCCGCACGTTTTGTAATATTTTGTTTCACGTGTAAACTGTTCGTGTTCGTGAAATATTTTAACTGCCTTCATCAGATCGTGTGCATTTCGGCTCGCGCAGCTCGTTATCCGCGTTAATTGCGCACGTAATACAATTTCAAAGCGAAAACATATCGGCGGCCGCGTATAATGACCACGTGGAAAGCAATGAATGATCTACGCCGCGCTATATTTTGCCGGCTCAAGCGGCAATAATTGTTACACAAACGGCTTTTTCGATACGCATTTATCACGACGATCCTCGTCGTCGTCGTACTAGTTTGGACGCAATTTCCGGACTGTCGCGATTACACACGCTTAACGTGATAGCGAGCACGCGGGTTGACGCGGTTAACGACTTGGCCCGTAATTGGCCGAGCTCGTCAGGACGATAATGCGAGAGAGCAAGTTTTAACGGGGTAAGTGGATCATGGGTCTTGTAGTTAAGGCTATTAACAATTAACTGTGTCGTCGGTGTCGTTGCCGTTAACGGGCGCGTTGTCGTCATCGTCGTCTCTTCACTCGGCACTTCAGTCGCCGACATTATTCAAATTCCAATAACGAAGGCGTAAAGGCGCTTTTTGTAACCCGTCTGTCGATAAGCTGACGGAATTCTATATCGACGGATCGTCGATAATACGCGAACGAAACTATGCGACGAACCGAAAAGCCACTCGCAAATATTCTTCGCGTTAAAACAAAAAACTAACTAATATTTCGACAACGTAAGTGTCTATCTGTTGCTTGTGTTTCGCAATTAAGTTTACGAGAAATTTGTTCAAAGTAATTTAATCAAACGAGTAATTAATTTCCGTCTCAAAAATTTGCTATTTAATTTAATAAATTTAACAAATTAAAGAGATCAAAACAATCGTTTCACAAAGCAAAGATATCCTCGCGTTGAGTTAATTGCAACTACGATTCGAACACGAAATTTTCTCACACAGGCGCGTTTATCTTCTGCGTCGTAAAGATTTATGTTTTTGAAACAGAAATAAATTATCTCAACAATATTATCGCTCTCGATTAAATCATTTGTATTAATGCGAGAAGATAAAATATATTTTTTCAATTAGTGCCTCGTGAAGAGAGACGCGGTTTTTTTTCGGAGAACATTTGCCGGTTTAATTTTCGAAAACACTCACCTCCGTCCGTATACGAGGCCTTCGATCGTGAAAGTGTCCGTGTTCGACGGATCCTTTAATTTCTCGGCGATGCTCTCGCGCGCGCGCGTCGCCGGACACTGTTCCGCCGGCTTCCACACACGTGGTCACGCTGATCCCCGCCGAGTTGTGAGATCTTTCTTGCATGCACAAAGACTCCTGTCGCTCTGAATGGAGCACACACCATAAAGGATCGCTCGTACGCGGAATTCATTTTAATATACGTTACGTGCAGTCCGAAGGACAATCTTCCTTGACAACGAGTTTGTTAACAAAAGAGACTTACACCCTTACGGTCATCGAACCGAAATAGAGAGAGAGAGAGAGAGAGAACTGCCGGTACAGTTCAGAGGCCTAGGGGAACTTCTCGCGCGTTTTTTTTGAGCGTGTGTGCATGAGGAAACAAAAACAAGTGATATCGCACTTCCGAAGTAGAAACTATTTCTGATACACATATTTCCGGACATGGGGTACTATTGGAAATATTGTAGATTGGATCTCATTGCGTTCTCTCTACGATCGTATCGAGATTGCAGGGCCCCCGAGAGTGGAGAAACGCCGAGAGAAACATGTAGGTATAACCGCAAGGATCTTTTAACTAGCGGGTACTTTCACTCCGCTAAATTTCCCTTCGCTCGCGATTTCTATGTACCACCCGCCGGTCGTAATTTTCTCACGTGTACGCGACTACTGCCGGAACTCCTTGACTAAAGACGACGCTGCCGGCAATTAAGACAAAACGATGTATGAAGAGCTGCTACCGGGGCTGAGAGACTAGACACGTCCGGCTTCGCTCGTTCGCGTTATCTACCGCGCCGCGAAAATAAGAGGAAACAACAACACTCTTCCGAGAGACTTATCGCTCGTCCGCTTCTGAAACTTCGAGTCGAAACGTTATCTCCGCGTCGTAATCTTCGCAGTTTCGGTACCGCGTTGATAAAAAGGCTCTCTCGCCTCGTGCGACTAAATAAAAAAAAAAAAAACTTTATCAACGAGAGAATCGCGCGTCATTAAGACTCTCTATCCTGTCGAGGCGTGACTCGAATTCTGTCACCGACGAGAGTCGCAGCACCTGCTCCGTTCGTGCGCGCGCGAATAATTGGCAGTGTCGATGACCATCGAGAGAGGGGATAAATGTAAAACACTAAACGAGAGAAGAACAATAGACTCTCATTAAGTGTAGACATCGATGTTTAAAGACGATGAACGTTTTGCACTGCTATTAACAAGAAAACAGAATAAAAAAAAAACTATCATCAATGTTTTTACAAAAAAGAAATATTTTAAAACCAGTTAGTGTTGTTTACCCCATTTTCTGACGGTCAGACACACTGTGCATGCCAGGTGCGCGCCAGGTCCGAGAAGCCCCGCCTCAGAACTCCGACTGATTTCAGTTCACGTTTTCGTAGCGCGTCGATCGTTTCGACTGTCAGCGGGAACGTCGTCAAATAAATCTATTCCGGCGCGATAGAAGAACGAGAGGGAATGAATGGAAGTGACGTTTCGCCGAATCGACTCCGATGACGTACGACGAGGCGCAACGACCGTGATAATTTCGTCAATCAAGCGGTCGTAAAAAAAAATAAAAAAAAAAGAGCACCCGGGACCGAATCCGAGCCGGGCTTGATAGGATAATTCGACGGCACGCTATAACGAAGATTCAATGCTCCGGGGGTATTAAGTTTCGTTAACGGACACGAACCCTCTCGAGCGTATCGTGACATATGCGCTCTTTCGTTTCCGGTGCAAGAGTATCGTTTTAAAAAAACGTTTGTTTAATTACCGAGACTGCGCGGGGGAGATGATGCGGCAATCGACCCCCTCGAGTCTTTATACATGTGACGGCTCCTCGCAATGTCGTCGCGTCGAACGAAATAAAAGGAAAAAAATCGCGCTTGCCGTGCTTTTATCAGCGATATAAGCGAGTGATGAATATTGTACGGCCACCGCGACGCGATATATCCCGCAGTGATACGCGTACGCACGATCATTTAATTTGCTTTTATCGTGTTCCGTAGCGAAATGAATAAATGCGCGCTCTTTTCTCCGTCTCTCTCTCTCTCTCTCTCTCTCTCTCTCTCTCTCTCTCTCTCTCTTCGTGCGCGATTATTATACAAAAATAACATACAATAAAACATGGCATGCAATGGAAATACACGTACTAAAAATTACAGAACGAATATTTGTGCTCACAAAGAACGAATATAGTATCGGCAATGTTTTTTTCAATTACATATTATTTTTAAAAATATAAATTTCCGCAACATCCAATCTCGACGTGTTCGATGTTTAACGTGAATAAAAAATTGTACAAATTAAATAGACTGAATAAAATTATATTCGATGTTGCGATAAAAAAGAAAAAAAAACATATTAAAGCTCGTTTAAAGCGATATGCTATCTGTTAAGAAATTATATAAGTACGTTCCACATTTTGTCGCGTAAATATACATGTACTTTAATCAGCCGTACTTTAATCAGTATATCTAGGATCTATGTTGGCACTAATGTGTTCTCTCACCTACAGTTGACGGGATATGAAACAGTTCTGCGAATCACATACCGTAATCAATCTCCCCGAGACGTTTAACAACATAAAGCGAGCGCTACATTCGCAATCGTGACTCATCTGAACAACAATGCTTTTATACTTGACGGATCAATATCTGAGCCGATTGTTAACTTTCGCGAAAACACCTTTCGCACCAGTCAGTTATCAAAAACAATTTATCATGTTACATCAAGAGAGAGAAAAAGAGGAAAGAGAGAGAGAGAGTTGTATCAATATTATGTGAAAAATATTAAAAACTTTTCATTTTTCATCAGCAATTAAACAATCAAGAGTTTTAACGAAATCTCTCTGAGATAAAATACGCTTCACTATTTTCTTAGAATTCAGAAGTCAGTTAAATCTTAAGGTCTTTTATCTTCGGAGTTGATTGACCTGTTAACACTCCGTATTTACGAAGGCCACCATGTGCCCCCTCAAATTCGTCGATCTTTTTTTTTTGTCAGATAATCTTATGTTTCTTGTACGTCAAACTCTCATTTGCGTCGCGACGCGCACGAATAGTCGTATCGAGACGGTAAAGGGGTCAAAAGCGGCCATGTACTGGGTGGAATAACACGACGCGATGATTAATCGCTATTCTAGCCATTAGGCTCGGAAGTAGACCGAAAGAAAGACAGACGAGTCTACTTCAGAAACACGTGTAGTAACAACATCGTCGCGTATCGCCACACAACCCCGACTCGACTACTCGCGTTCGCGATATAAACAGATGCGCGCAAACTTACGATGTGGATAGATTTCTTTTTTTATGCAACAAATTTTTTTCTTCTTCTGACACAGTTGAATTTTGATCGATGATCGTAGATTCCCGAGAGAAATAACATTTCGAGACACGCGTTTGCTTTGCCTAAGCGTTTAATAATCAAATCGCGCAATGCTAGCGAGAATAATCGTGGGAAAAGTCCTTGTCTTATCAGTTCTACCAATTCACTTGTGATTATGTAAGTCCTCTTGAAACTCGATAAAAAAAAAAAAACATGCTCTGCCTCGCTACAATTCAATATCAGTATTGAAGCGAGAGAGAGAGAGAGAGAGAGAGAGAGAGAGAGAGAGAGAGAGAGAGAGAAAGAAAGCGGAAAAATCGCTACTTATATTTGGAAATCAATCGTTTTACGCAACGAGCAACAAAATTTCAAAACTAAACTGTGTTAATTTCTTATTAACAAAGAGAGACAGTGAAAATTTCAATTATAAAATAATATGTTAAAATTAGAATTATATTCTCTTGTTAATTACTTTTTCCTGCAATTCATCTTCTACGCAAACGGCGTGTTTCACAAAAGAAAACACCGAAACAAAAGGGAATCTTTTCCGTGCAAAAGGTACCGCGAGGAAGGTAAAATGTGACGTTTGAGATAATGGAGAGAGAAGAAGAGAGAGTGGGAGTTGCATTTTACGTATGCAAAATTGTCCAGACGGAACATTGTCGACCGGGCGCGTACAGTCAGGGTCGCCCAGGTGTGGTCAGTCATTGTTATGTCTTCCATGATAACGCACGCGCGCGCGTGTGTGTGTGCGTGTGCAACGGCTGTAGAACGAGCAATATCTGTAATTCATGCCGCGTTGCGCGCGAAGCCGTACGCGTAATACCAAAAGTTTTTCTTCACCTCCTCTTTTACCTCGCTATCCTCACACATTTGTCTTCTCCGTCTAAACTTGCCGCGTAACGTACACACAAACCGATAATACTAATAATGATAATAATTGCTTATCATTAAACGTAACGTTATACCAGATCTCTCTCTCTCAAATAGAGAGACCGCAAACACCGCGCGAACCGGATCTCAAAATACAAATATTGTGTTGTGCGTATACAATTCGCGCGCAGCTCCACAATTTGTGATCCGAGTGATTATTAACATGTAATATATGTAACGAACGCGGCAATTTAAATACATTAACTGCTGATTGATGACTGTTCGCCATTCGTGCGCGTTCGTGACAATCGATATGTAATATGTTGCGAGCGGCAATCAATTCACAAATATTTACGCGCAAAAGTTTCGAAATTGCCATTAATAATTTCAACATCACGTTTTGTGATATAAATTGCAAGATGATTTCTTTTCTGTCTTCTTCCCTCCTCTCTCTCTCTCTCTCTCTCTCTCTCTCTCTCTCTTCTATACGATGAAAATTTATCTTCTTTATATTTTTAGAAAAAAGTCTATACAAGTTAAACAAATAATTGCGATAATTAAACACTTCGTCACGCGAATCCTGAGGGATCGACAATATTGTCGACCAAATAAGGAAAAGGGACGCGACGTAGAATTCCGAGGGAACTAACAGGTTTTCATACGACGCAAAACGAGAACATATACAGAAGATGGCCGTTTCGATCAGAGAACTGACAAAAGAAGAATCGGATTCCGACCAAAAAAAAAAACTCTGAAAACGTCTCTGCTGCCCTATTCTGTGCGTCGCTTCACGTGAGATCTTTAAATCGTTATCATCGATATGGTCATCGACCACGCTTATCTATCGCGTGTATCAGTTCCGGGAATAGCGCGCGAGCGATTTTGAGAAAATCCTACAAAGTTACTGGAACGAGACAAATCACGAGCGCGTGAAGATATAGTATAGCGCGCGTCCGTTATAATCTTGAAATATATAATCGCGTCGAACGCGCGGAAAGAGAGAGAGAGAGAGAGAAAGAAATTGCGCGATGAAAAATAATCGCGAACATCACAAATAACCGAAGCGATGCGCGTCGGCTTGCAAAATTATCTCGCGGATGAGAGAGACAAAAATTATTTCGATCCGTTCTGCCGCGAGGAGGCTCGGTCGGCGGCTGCAAAAAGCGCGACGCGGCAAGAGACACTCGAGCGAGCCTGAAAAAAAAAAGCCCGCAATCCGTCCGTCGCAGCTGACGTTCTAAATTTCGTAAGGCTTACGATTTATTTCGGGTCACCCAGTAGAGGCTCTCGCCCGGAGTTGTCGAAAAAATTCACAATAAAGCACCTACACCACTTCTACGTTGCGGGCCGGTGGCCGAGTCGAGTGCGTCGTTATTCTCTCACTGACAGCTGCGGCGAGGCGCGCGTAAACAAGCCCCGCCGAGCGAAGCGATTCTTCGCCGAATAACACGCGCCGCGCGTCACGAAAGGCAAGCAAGTTGGCAACCGGCAGCCAGGACGAAACCTAATCAGCCTAATCTCTCTCTTTCTCTCTGACTCCGACGCGCGACTATCTACAAGAGATCGTCTCTCGCTCCGAGCTACGACGCTCGCAATTATCAAGATGCGAACAGTGTAATAAGATGTGAGAAAAGAACGACAGCGTGATGATATTTGCCGCTTCGACACGGAGAATACGCGCGCGATGAGATTAAATATTGCAAGCTACCAAGCTCCCGAGAATTCCAAAACGCGCGCAGGACGCGGAATAAGAAACAAAGTGTGAAAAAATGAAGTAAACAAATGTGTATAACATTCCGGAAGAGTTTCCGTTCGCGAAATTCTCGTCGACGCAATTTTCTAGAAACCGCACGACAGTTTTGAACGTACAAGATGGCGAAAAACAAAAGAACGCACGCACTTTTCATCAACTCGAAAGTTTCCGTTCGCACGAATCTCTTCGGACTGCACGCGACAATTTCGCGAAAATACTTTTGAATACGCAAGATGGCGAAAAATGTGTTACCGGTTTCTTTCTCTCTATCTCTGTCTCTCTCCTCTTCGAAAGGTCAGGTAGACGCCTCCAAAAGTTTGCGAACTCCAAATCGACCTTACGTCACACTCCGTACGAAATATCAATCGTAACGTTGAGCAGGTTGTTACACAAGAGGAAACTTGCGTTCAGGTTTGTCACTCGCGCACGAGATCCTTGGCGTATCTGCTCTGCGAGTCGCGGGCGCGCAAGGTGGAACGGGAAATCGTTCGCGTGCGAACCGTGTCGCGGAAATATCACCGGCGAGACACGGGAATCGGTCGAATCACTCGTGTAACACCGATCGCGCGAGTGTTCGCGATCGTGTTTCGGCGCGAAAGTGACGGGCGGTAGTCAACAACAACGAGAAAAAAAAACACGATTCGACGAGCTCGCGATCACCGAGCACCGTAGCGCGGGAACATCGGAACCGGACTGCCCGTCGTCTCGGCAGGTTTCGTGCGTCGCGCGAGTGTAGGAGGGTGCGCGCGCACGCTTCCACTCACAGCCGCGTTCAGGGCCGTCCCGCGTCAGAGAGAGACGAAGCTATCGCGCTCTCTCATCAAAACGGATCAGCTGATTCTGTCTATGTGCTTCGACATTCGTCGACGTCGAATAATTAAACAATTATTTTTGTGTATAGATAAAAAATTGCAAAATATACAATATATTATACTTATTTTCCTAAAAAAAAGATGCAAGTAATAAAAAAAATATTTATTGAATCACAATTATTAATTAATCTTGTTTTATATTTATATTAAATATATAATATATATTTAATCTATTATATCTATTTTTCTAAAAGAAAAGATAAATAATAAAAAAACTATTTATGTAGGATCACATTGATTAATAATCTTGTTTTATTTCTCTCTTTTCTTTTCGAGCACATACGTGTCAATTTACTGTGTTTGAGGTAAATTGGCAGTTTGCAGCGCTCAGAACACTTGAATAAACACACCGTAAATCCTCAAACGAAAAGGTCTAGAAAGATACCGGAACTGTGAAACAGCGACAAGTTGTCTAGCTCGAAATGAGGAATATGGGAAACACGTCGATGGGGAGGAAGAAAGATAAACTGCACGACACACAAAGGGGCGCAACAGAAAAAAGCAACAATGAGAGAAAAAGAAGAAACGAGCCAGTGCAGTTGACACGTGCGCTTCTCGGTTGGAGTCGTGGGACCCCATAGAATGTTCACAAAGATTCTTACGCGCGACAAATGATCGTACAATACAACTTTTCCCTCTCTGAGGAAAATCCGCCAAATACGAAGATTAGTAAATGTCACTTAACTTTCATGTTACCGCCTAATCTCCACCAGCGTGAAACAAAGATTGTTAAGTTGCTAAATACACGCATTATTATAAATCGTCACAACGATCGTTTTCTTCGTCACTTTTCGCGCAACACACATTTGCGCGCGCGCATCGATATTAAAAATTAAATATAATTAATCACCATTTATAATTGCCGCAGGTATATAAATAACATGTGTGTGTACGTCTTTTATTGTTTGATTTATATTGCGCGTTTCTCTCGAATTAATCTTTCCTATCGTATCTCACGTGCGATCTACGGGCGGCGAAAAATCGTACATCGGCCGCGAGCGTATAGGTCAGATCGGTGTAATTTTCACTGAGACGGCACACGAGAAGGTGGCATCGTGCGAAAGTGCAAGTCGGCCGACGACGACGACGCGGTGGCGGCGAACATCGCAACCGGTTTGTACCGAAACTAATTTCGAGACGCAGCGAAAGCGAATCAATGTCGCTAGACGAACGAAAAGTCGCGCTCCTGTTAATGATATCGCGAAAAAAAAACAAAGGTCAGATCTTTACAACAAAAATCGATATATACAGTATATAAATTTCACGTCACGAAGTAGATTTTCTCCTACGATGCTGATTAACGTTTACGAGCGAGCACTTCACTCGCAACACTGACACGGTAATTAAAATGCATTAGGGACACGTCACGGCGATGCAATTTGCATCGAGAGAGAAAATCTGATTTATTTTGGTCGACACAATTTCTCTCCTTTTTTTTATGCCGCCCGGCGGTTTTGACCGCGCGCCACTGCTGACCTTTGACCTACAGCCGATTTCTCGAACGGGTATCGATAGCGATCGCGACAATTTCTCTACTCCCCGACACACAGCCAATTTCTCTTCGTGTATGCAGCTGCGTGCGAGATACAATTATGATTGCCCGATCGCGTCGCGCTTATCGTTAATTCGCGAGCGCGCACCTGTACGTCGATACTTTGCCGTATAAACCGCCGGGCATCTCTCTGTGCGTTTAATTATCGTGAAAGGGGCAAAACAATTATCTCCGCGCGGTAAAGTATGGAAAAACGGTACACATAAAAAAAAAAGATATGAAGCAATTACTTTGATCTCTTGATTATTGTTACATATTCGTACTCATTATTGAATATTCGACGATAAATGGATGAAATTTGCATATAGTGCGTATTATGTATATTCGCCCGTAGTGCGTTACGCATTACCGTATAATTAATTGCATAAATCTCGCAAATGTTATAATCGCGCGTTCTACATCCAATTTTCATGAACGCGTGTGCGCTTTATTAAACTACTTTTTTTTTGTACTCGCGCGATTTCAATTTTCAAGATCTACTATACGTAGAAAAAGATATTGAAACGCGTTTCTTTCTCTCTCTTTCTTTCTTCATCTTTCTCTCTCCGAGAAATATACTTTACTCTTGTTATTTTAAAGCAATGCGTGTGTTTCACGTGAGACGCGCTTACGGCTTGAACGTACGAAGGAACGTCGTTTATCATCGAACCCGCATGGATCGGCACAGCGTGCACTTTACCTACCAACCGACTTCACATCCCCCGTATTACTTTACGGTTCTTCTTTTTCTCGTCTCTCGCACGCCTCTCTTCGCGATGTGAGCAGACGCGTCTGCGAACACGTGAGCGAACCAGTGCCACGGTTACGAAGAGAGAGAACGAATTATTTTTAGCGCGCGGATGCTGCGGAGAGTGTCGCCCAGACTCCCGTTGTTCCGTGAATATATACGCGAGAAAGGCTTGAAAATCTTTACTGTCGTCTGACTAACACACGTCACATCTGTGCCGTTTTCCATTTTGTTCATTTTTGATATTTAATATTCGATGCCATTTATTGTTATTGATATATTTGTTCACTTTTGTTTAAAAAATGTGAAACCACTTTTAATGATTGTTTCTGTCATTTAAAAATGTTACATAAATTAGAGTTGTATTTGTAATATATATTTGTTATAATAAATAAGTCTGTGAGCTGTAGTCCACAGTTGGTGGTGGTGAACAAACAACGAGACAATGCTGCTAAGTGTATTGGAACGTTTCGATTCTCTTTATTGTGATCGTCCTCAGCCAATCTCAGTAATCAAATATATATAGTAAAAAGATATTGTGACCGCATGTCAGTGAACGAAGAGAGTAAGAGTAAAAAAAACAATAAATGATTGCAATGTCATTGAAACACATTGCTATCTTTTACTTTTACTGACTCTCTCTGTTTACTGACATGCGGTCACAATATCTTTTTATTATACTAGCACAACACAAGCGCGCGCTACGCGCACATTATTATTATTTTTATTTTAACGTGTTGTATCAATAAATACAATCTGTCACCGCAATGACAGCTAGTATATACGTCTTACAAACCATATAATTCATATGATGTACATATGATAAAGATGTCAGAAATAACGCATGAAAATCACACTCGATAAATAGTAAGAAGAAAGAGTGGAAAAACGTCACGTGACGTTTAGTCACGTGTCTTTAAAAACCTGACTAAAGTAAAGTCACGTGACTGTAGTTACGTGTTGTTTTTCCACTCTTCCTTGTCACGTGATTTTATTTTAGTCACGTTTTTAAAAACACGTGACTAAAATACAGTCACGTGTTGTTTTTCCTTTTCTCCCTGTCACGTGACTTTAAAAAACGCAAGGATACTTTTTTTTCAGTGTTTTTTTCTGAAGCGATTGAGACTAAAACAAAAGTGATCTGTTCAGTCGTTGAGATATCACTCCATGGAAATCTCTTTACTTCTCAATCGCATGAATTTCGCGTATAAGAACATTACCGTGCATCTTGATTTGTACGATATGAATTGAGAAACACATTCTCGAGAAACGTCCAATCAGCGTCGTGATAAAAGTGGCAATAATCAATATCGAAAGTATCGATTGTGATTATTTACACACGCTTTTTCTGGTAGGATTTATTTGATTACTAAGTTGGCTGAAGATGATCACAATAAAGAAGATCGAAACGTTCCAATAAACTTAGCAGCATTATTTCATTGTTTTTTCATCACTATCAACTGTAGACTATAGCTCTCATAGACTTACTTATTAATTGAGATTTTATTTAAGGACTTATTATTATTATCGACAATAGACTTAAAAAACTCTTCAACACTAAATTAAATAAAAAACATAAAAACTTACCAGACGATGATGAATCCACGAAATATCGTGTAGTTACCATACATTTCTAATTTAAGCCATCATACCCACAATATATTCAATTCAAATATATCCCTAACACCAGACTATCGTACCGCAATTAAAATCAACTGAACAAATTCATTAAAACACATAAAAATCCAATCCCTCACCACCAACAAAAAATTGTAATCTACCAGATATCTTGCAGCTCATGTGATTCTAACTACATAAGACAAACAAAACGTCAATTAAATATCAGACTCAAAGAACATAAAAATTATATCAAAAATCATAATCAGAACTCTTTGTATTAAGCGAACATTTTTTGCATACTGAACACGATTTCGAGTGGACACCGTCCGCATTTTAGATAAAGAACCGAATTACATCAAGCGACTAACATCCGAAATATTACAAATTAAATTACACAAAAACAGCTTTAATAAAATGACTGACACAAAGCTGCTGCACGATACTTACATAACGATAATCGATAACATCTCAAACAAATAACTTATATGACACGGATGTCATTTCCTAGCTCAGTATTGACGATGCTCTAGACAGTGTACTATCGTTCGTACTGAGTGGGATGTGACATTACAAAGTATGTAATTTTGTTTATTAGTTACCACTTAATATTGTAAACGTACTTATTTATATGCGTACCACTCAATATTGTAAGCGTACTTATTTATATGCGTAATTTTGTTTATACTACTTTAGTTCCCACTGATGAAGATTTAAAATAAAAATCGAAACGTTTGGGACAGCTACACAACGTGTATTAATTTATTGCAGAACAACCTGCACACTGGTTCAACAAACCCAATTGACCTCAAATTTAAACAATTTTTCAATCTGAAAACCCGAAGAGAACTTTCCTCTACATCTCTGTTTATTATTATTATATTATCAAATATTTGTTATATAAA